CCCCAGAATTTCCATTTCTTTCTGTACATGTTAGTAACATGTGTCAGCAAAAGTGACTGTCATTTTTTGACACCCCACCCCTCAATCTGTTAAATATGCGTAATGAATATCTGTGAGAAGTTTGATGATTTAATGCAAAAGTGCACAGTGCAAGTTTTGTAAGTTGTTGTCACTGCAAAGATGGTGGCAATCTTTGTCATAAACTACCTTATGTTTATAGGGACATACAGTACCATTGATGATAACCAGCTAGATGAACTTACTATGCAAGCATCTAATGCACATCCTGGCATTGGTATTAGAATGCTAAAAGGCTATTTACAAAGCAAAGGAATCCGTGTCCAACGTGAAAGGGTTAGATTGTCGTTATTACGAATTGATCCCATTGGTATTGTTCAGAGGTGGCAATCAACTGTCAAAAGACGTCGCTATAATGTGAAATATCCCTTATCATTGTGGCACATTGATGGAAACCACAAACTTATAAGGTAACCTTGATTTTATTTTGAATTATTGGATAAGAACAAGTATATTTCACCTGCATGATGCAAATAATACAGCTGGGGTCTTGATAATTTTTGATACTGTGCTCAATTTCATGGATTGTTTTGTCATACATTTTGTAACCAAAAAAGTTTTCCCATGTACTGATGACACTTTTTCGTAGGTGGAGAATAGTAGTACATGGTGGAATAGATGGTTATTCCAGAATCCCAGTTTACCTAAAGGCATCTGRCAATAACAGAGCAGATACKGTATTAAATGCCTTTCTTGAGGCAACATCCGAGTATGGTCTTCCATCGCGTGTAAGATCCGACAAAGGTGGTGAAAATGTAGATGTTGCTTCATATATGTTAAGTCATATTCAGAGAGGACCAGGCAGAGGAAGCATGATTACAGGTATATCATAGAATCAGATCAGTTTTTATTGAATGCCAATTACCTATGTATSTTATTAGAGTCGTTTTCATTGCACCGTGAAACATTAGTCAGACTAATACGTAGTACTTGTTGGTGATAGCTAGTATTAGATCTAGTCTAATGAACCAAAGGCAACCATTATAATAAGGTGAATACATTAACGTGAAAAATACCAAAATGATACTCTTCCGAGTCAGGTC